TTTGTACTGTTTAATAAGAAAACAAGTAGCAAAATCTTACTCTCTTAGAAGTAGTCTTTTACGACTTCATCTTTTAAATTTTTTTTCTAAATTGCTTAGTGTGTTTTGAAGGATTTGGCTTATCTCCTCCAAAAGATCTGCAACATGCATCGACAAATATGATTGGATATCAGCCTGTTATTTCTCATACTGTACATAAACAACAAATATGAGTTAAGCCTAACACATGCTATAGGAAATCTGTGTTAATAATATTCTCTCTATAAGATAGTACTTTACTCCCTTGAGAATTTAAAGAATAACTTAGATGTTATATATACAATTTTTATCTGGTCTTCTACTTCAGTAGTGGGACTTTACTTTGTTTGTTTTTTTTTCTTTATCTGTTTGTTGTGTAGAGGTTTTTTCCTGTTAGCAAGTTTCCTCTACTCAACTATATTATATGACATATGACCTTTGTGTTTTTCATTATATATATAATTTTTATTTATCCTTTTCACTATACAAGAAACTATTATCAGTTTAGTAGTAGTCTATTGTATAGGTAAGAAGTTATGATAGTAGGGTTGAAGGTACAGGTTAAAAATTAGGCATGCCAACAAAGGCATGCCTTGAATAGAGACATGCTCAAAGGGTATGCCTATACTATGATATGGTAAAAGTAGATTCTTGTTTAACAACTTGACCAATTAGAAGAAGAAATATTAGGCTATTTACTCAAGCTCTAATAGCAACTTTATAATTGTAAGAACTTTATTTAAAAGAGTTCTATTTATAGCCTTAGTATTCTTTTGATATTTTACATAAGTAAAAAAAACTATATGATTATACAATATGTTAACTACTATAATACCTCAAAATTAATAAAAAATATATAATTATCATGTTAAACTCATCTTCCTATCTTAAACCCTATCCTTTTTGTTAATTAAAAATTTCAAGTAAATAATAAATATTATTCATATCGTAACTTTTTAAATATTAATATATAAGAGTTCTGATCCATTATCTATCTATCTATTTATCTATTAGATATCTAGATCTGAATTTATTTGAGTATCTGTTTTACTATTGATATCTGGATAATTATTTGAATATTTGTCAGATTATTTAGATATCTATAGTAAATAGATATTTGGATAAATTAAGATATAGATAAATTAATGGCAGATTTATCCGAATTGAAACTCTAAATATATGTATCATATTGTACTTTATAAATTTTGAGTATATAAAAGTCACTAATGAAAATCACAAAGCTTTTTGATCAAAAATTAACTTCAAACTCAATTTTAATATGATTAAGTAGTCACAATAAAGTTTTAAATATCATAATTAAAATAATACAACTACAAAACTCGAGTTTAACTAATTCAAATTCCAAATAGAGATAGCTAAGCAATATAACATCTCTAGTTCAAATCTACTCTTTCTATATAACTAGCTAATTAAATACAATATAATAGTTATATGACTAGGGCATGCCTTTTAGTTTTGACATGCCCATAGGCATGCCTTAGGGGCATACCCAAAAGGCATGTCTATGCCTCTATACCCTCAACCCTACATGATGGACTACAGTATCCACTCAGAGATTTGTTATTATTTTTTCGAAAGATTAGATAGTAATGATGAAGGAAAAGACTCACTGTAGCAGATCACACATAGATACCTTTAGAGTAACCAAGTGAATCAATACTTAAAAAATTATATAGTTAGATATATTTTGAGTAAATATGTATTCTAATATTTTTGTCAAGCACAAAATTTATTGCAAATAAAGTATTAGCATAACTTGCTGAAAAGGTTTAAAAAAAAAAAAAAACTAGTTATAAATTACAAACTATAAGTTACAAATAAAATTAATTAATTAAAAACAAATTCATAATTACCTTGAAATTCTAAATTTTTAAAATTCCAAAAATATAAAAATTTTATTAATTAAATAATTGATCATTTATTATATTTTTTTATTTATTTATTAAAGAATATGTTGTATCTCTTAATTAACATAAAAGAAGTAAGTACTGAGGCCAAATAGACTTTTTACTGAGTAATTAGAAACTATATTCTTAACAAATTATATAAGAAGTAATATTATATGTAATATTATTATTTAAATTGTTAAATAGAATCAGTAATTATTTAGATATTACAATTGTTTAATTATTAGTACTGTAATCAATACTTAGATTACATTTAAGTTATTAGTTTTATTATAATATATTTAATAGTAATACCACTCTTATAAATATCATATTATTCTAATCTACTCTTAAAATATTATCTCTTCTGATTAACAACTATCGATTCAAATATAAATAACCTATTAATATTACTTACTCTTATAGTAATTAGATTATTAAACCCAGTATTATATTAACTATCAAGCTAAACTATACAATATTAATTGCTCTCTCAATTTATGATAGTAATAATAGGCATACCAAAAAAATCTAATAGAGTATATTATAACATATAATGATAAATACAAATTTATAAAATACTATAATAATATAAATCCTGTTTATTGTTCATTTCAAATAATTAATTTATTTTATCAATCTTACTTTGTTTATATATTGGCAATATCTTATCTAACTTATTATTTATATTCAATTGATCTATTTTAGAATATTCTTTTGTTAATTAATAACTTTTTTTAGAAAGAGATTTTTGCTAATATTTTAGGAATTCCAAAATATATATTAACAAAATGAGCTTCTATTTTACTAAGATATCTACAACTCTAAGATTTTGAATGATAATAACAAAATATATTATGATAACTAATATTACTACTTAATTAATCTATTTTTACACTTATAATTAATATGTTGATTTTGCTATTCTGTATCTATAGATTTATTTTTCTCTAAATATATTAGCTTGTGATAATGTATTTAAATATAAATTCAATTCTTCAGTTATATTAAAAAACAAATTTAAAACAATTTATTATGTCTGAGTTCAAAAATTTATTTGAATTCAAAGTTTTATTATTATAATAAAAAGTTAATTAAACTTTTTTATTACAAAAACAAAGATAAAGTTCTAAGAAGCTATTTGGATCAAATAAGAGTTTTGTTTTACTTCATCTTGCTTAAGCTACTAAAACCAAATAAGAAATAATAGCAAGTTTTAAGACTGATTTTACTCTGAGAGAAAGGATGGATTCAAAGATTTTTTTATTTCATCTAGCTTTTACTTGAATGAGACTAATTCTATTATTTGCATTTTGATTTGCTTAATATATACTTTTGATATCTGCTTTTAGTTTTTTATTCATTACTAAATCTACTCTATTATTCTCTGATTTGTTAATTCTTGAACTAGAGAGCAAAAAATCAAACATATTTTTTTGAATTTCTTAGTTAATATCTAAGTAGTGCTGTTTAATCATAACTTCATAATTTTAATTATATGCATATATTTTAGAATTTATAATACACAATTTAATTATTGATTATTGCAATATTTATTAATTGTTATAAAATATTTTTGTACTAAAAATATTTTGTTTATTGAAATTAAATTGATATCACTAGAATAAGCTTTTATTAAAAATCAATTCTCTTAGTAGTATTTAAAAAATATAAAGTTTGATAAAATTATAATATATCTTTATAAATAAGTATAACCTAAAAAACTAAATTATATTATTGAATTTATCATTTTATTAGACTTAGCTCTGATCAGAATACATAATATATAATTACTCTTTTAATTATATATTATATATAGAGATATTAATTAATTTTATAATAATTGTTAGCTAATTTTAAGCAAGATTTGTAAAGAATTAGTATTTTTAACTAATATTTATTCAAAAAATAAAGTTATAGAAAAGTTATTTCTCTATAACAGTCTCTAATAAAAGTTTATTTGTTTTTGTATTAATTTTTGAGTAATTAAGATAGGACTAATTAGAGACTAAGTAGTATGAAAAGAATTTTGTTAACTAGTTTTTAACTAGTTCTATTTAAATTATTTAGAAACTAATGCAAAAACTAATAAACTTTTATTAAATATAATTATAAAGAAATAACTTTTATTTATCAAACAAAAATTAGTTAAAAATACTAATTTTACATAAATCTTACTCAAAATTAGCTGATAATTATTATAGAACTAATTAATATCTCTAATTAGATATTATTAAATATATAATCAATTCAAAATCAAAACTTTTTTTTTTTTTAGCAATATTCAAATTATTTATATTAAGATAAAGAATATAAATTTCTCAATTATCTAAAAAAAAAGTTAATAAACTAAATTAATAAAAATCTAATAAAAAAAAATAACTTGTCTTAAAGCTATATATATATATCTAATTACTTATCTTAATAAAAAATTATTAGATATTTAGTTAGCTGAATTAGTTTTTCATAATTATCAAAATTCTTTGAACTTTTTTTTATTAAAATATATTATAGTTATTTTAGAAGATTTCATATAAAAATATAGTAATGCCAAATATTTACTAATATAATTTTTTAAAAACAATTTAGGTATATGAGGTAAAGTCAATAGAAAAAGGACAAATTTTTTCTAAGTAAATATTTTCTCAAGTTTAGAATAAAATATTTTAATAACTACTAAAGCAAATCCTATAAAAATTTTTTATTTTAATTTTAATAAATTATAAATTTAAAATAAAAAAAATTTATTAATTTGATAGAATAAATATTAATGTTACACCCTGTTATATAAATTATTTATTACAGGTTATATATAGATATAAAATTTTAAGATCACAGATATGTAAACACATATTTATTTCTCAGTTTGTGATAACGTGATAGCACTCTTTTCTTCAAATAACTTCTAACAGAACTTACCTTGTATCTTCTTTTTCATTAATTCTTCATTTCTAATATTTGGATCATAACTAATTTCACGACATGACAATGTTTTTAACTATTCTTAGGAGTATACAATTGCACTTTTATAAACTAATAAATTTTACATTAAACAGGTAGAAGTAACGTCTAAATATGGTTGCTCAACTGACTAATGCTGAAGCTAGTACCTCTTATGCAGCTATTTTTAAAACTGATACCTTTTATGTAGTTAATGCTGAAGTCAGTACTCCCTATATGATTATAATTGATCAAGTGGCAAATATTGAAAATAGCACTTCCTACACGTTTAATGCTGAAGTCAATACCTCTGATGTAGTCAATACTGAAATCAGTACTTCCTACGTGATTAATATTCAAACTAATACCTCATATACAATTAATGCTGAGACTAATGCCCTCTGCGAAAATGCAGGTTATGATAAAGCAACTACTGAGAAGGTTAGCAATATAGGTATTAGTAATACTGTAATATGAAAGTTATGGTTTTTTATAGATTCAATTTTAATGTTTCAAGCTTGCAAACTCATTTTTAGGTGAGATGCAACATGATTTTTCCTTATTAAAACTTGGTTATACGTTCCTTTTATGGGATGACGTTGATACTTTTTTCAAAGCATATAGTCAGTATTATGGGTTTGCTATAATTAAAATAAGGGTTGAGCAGCATAATGACAGTGTAATTAGACATCGATCTTTTGGATGTAAGTTTAGAGGAAAATATATACCCAAGAAGAATATTGACATTAACACTCACCGTAACCAACAGTTGAAATGTAAGGGATGTGAATGGCATATCAATCTAAGCTTGCCTAAAAAATCTAACCAAATTTCAGTTACAACATTTGTAAATACCCACAACCATGAACTCCATCCTGAAAAGTACAAATATAATGCTAAGTTCAGATCAATTGAAAATGAAGCACTAAATGACATTGAGTTTTATACAAAAAATGGAAATCTTTCAATTACCATATAGCGTCAATTACTAAGAGCAAAGTATTCAGATGCAACCTTCTTAGATATGGATCTCGCTAACGCTATTTAACATTATAAAGTTAAGTCTAGAGATCTTAAAAATGATGCCTTATAACTTTTATCATATCTTACTAAGAAGCATTCAGAAGAGTCAGGTTGGAGTGTTGAATTTGAGTTAGATAGCAATAACCGTCTTATCCGAATTTTCTGAATAACTCCCAAACAGATATCCCTTTAGTTGGAATATCACGATGTCATTCTCAATGATAATACAGCTAAGACAAATCAATATCAAATGTCTCTAAGTTTGTTCCTTGTTGTTGATAATAACACGAGATCTCAATTGGTTATACAAGCATTAGTTTCTAATAAAACTGTTAACTCATACCTATCCCTTAAATTGTATTGCAGCCAAATTTGTCTGCAACTTTTAAAAATAATTTTTAATATCAGATAAAAATTTTAAATATT